GATTGGGGGATGTTAAGACAAAATAATAAACAACTAAATTATATGGTCATAGCAGCGCTGTCAAATCAGTATGCTTCTCACCAGATGGAACTACATTAGCATCTGGTAGTTTCGATAATTCAATCCAATTGTGGGATGTTAAGACCTAGAAAATAAGAGTCAAATTAAATGGTCATAGGGATTTTGTTATATCAGTATGCTTCTCACCAGATGGAATTACCTTAGCATCAGGTAGTGATGATAAGTCAATCCGTTTATGGGATGTTAAGACAGGATAATAAAAAGCTAAATTAGTTAGTCATGGTAGTTATGTCCAATCTGTATGCTTCTCATCAGATGGAACTACTTTAGCATCAGGTAGTAGTGATAAGTCAATCCGTTTATGGGATGTTCAGACTGGATAATAAAAAGCGAAATTCATTGGACATGATCATTGGGTTCAATCAGTATGCTTCTCACCGGATGGAACTACTTTAGCATCAAGTAGTAAGGATAACTCTATCTGTTTATGGGATGTGTAGACTGGATAATAAAAAGCTAAATTGAATGGTCATAGAAATTATGTTGAATCTGTATGCTTCTCAACAGATGGAATTACTTTAGCATCAGGTAGTAGGGATAATTCAATCCGATTATGGGATGTCAAAACAGGATTATAAACAGCCAAATTAGATGGTCATAGTGATGCAGTATGGTCAGTATGCTTCTCACCAGATGGAACTACTTTAGCATCAGGTAGTGATGATAAGACAATCCGTTTTTGGGATGTTAAGACAGCAAAATCAAGCGACAAATTAGATGGTCATAGTGATACAGTATGGTCAATAAGCATCTCACCAGATGGAACTACTTTAGCATCAGGTAGTAGTGATAAGTCAATCCGTTTATGGGATATTCAGACAGGATAATAAAAAGCTAAATTAGATGGTCATAGTGATACAGTATGGTCAGTATGCATCTCACCAGATGGAACTACTTTAGCATCAGGTAGTAGTGATAACTCAATCCGTTTATGGGATATTCAGACAGGATAATAAAAAGCCAAATTGAATGGTCATGATCATTGGGTTCGATCAGTCTGCTTTTCACCAGATGGAACTTCCTTAGCATCAGGTAGTTATGATTGTTCAATTCGTTTATGGAATATTAAGACAGGATAATAAAAAGCTAAATTCGATGGTCATAGTCATTTTATCGAATCAGTATGCTTCAACCTAGATGGAACTACTATAGCATCAGGTAGTAGGGATAACTTAATTCGTTTATGGGATGTTCAGACAGGATAATAAAAATCTGTATTAATTGGTCATGATGGTTTTGTCCAATCTTTATGCTTCTCACCTGATGGAACTTCTTTAGTTTCAGGTAGTTAGGATAAGTCAATCCGTTTATGGAATATTAAGTCACGATTATAAACAGCCATATTGGATAATCATAGGGACAGTGTCAATTCAGTATGCTTTTTATCAAATGGAACTACTTTAGCTACAGGTAGTTAGGATAACTCAATCTGCTTATGGGATGTGAAGACAGGATATTTAATTTAACCTTTAGATTAAAAATATCAAGATTTACTTGCTTTATTCAACATTCCCTTGAATTCAAATAATCTATTTGCAGAAGGTATTATTTAGTAATTTTTTTCTAGGTAATTCTTACATTAATACTCTCCTTGTTTCTCAATCCCCTATATTCCAAGCAAAAGGAGCATTAATTTTTAAAGGAGAATTTCTGAATCATTAAGGTTATGATTTAAAATCATTATTGAAATCTAAAGGAGGTTACTTTTTGGAAAGTAATCTCAAATGACAGAATAATCGATAATTACGTAACATACATTAAAAATATTTTTTATTCAATTTTTTTTTTTATTTTCAATTATAAAGCAATAATTTTTTTCACTCAATTAGTGTGCTATCGTTGTTACCATATTTCAAAAAACTTTAATACAGCTTTCCAAAATCATCTACTTTCAACCTTTTATCACATGGAAAATAGAGGCTACAAATTTTGATA